CACACAAACACACACACACACACACACACACACACACACACACACTATAATCTAAAACAGTAGAGCAATGATAATGCACTTCTTCAAAATTGAAAGAACAAAACAGCTTGGATGAGCTGACAATAATAATACTTTATTATGGCCACATAGCTTGACAGCAGGGGTTCCAAAGAGTAAACAACTAAGTGTAAGTGTTAGGAACATTTTAAACACAAAACAGTTTGAACTTCAATGGATCTCTATTATATCCTTATTATATCCAACAGTATATAACAGTAATCAACTAAAAAGCAAGGTTGAGGTCCAGCCCCCCAATATGTGAGAAGTCACATATTGTTTTAGTAAGAGTTTTACGGCACTTGCAACACAGTAAGGTCATAAAAGTGCCGAAGATTCGAGGTGTTACAAGAGAGTAACAAACATAAAAAAAGGAGGGGAGATATGGAAGATAGACGTTTGATACGAAAGAAGAAGCAATATAATACGATTTTGAAAACTGTGCTTAATTACCAGGGTAACATTTTTATAATTTTGCTCTTCGCTTTTTAAACTAACTACGTAAGTATAGAGAAGTTAACTGAAACAAACTATTGTATATTTCCAACAAATACACATAATAATACCATTTTGAAGTGTTATGCTCATTTTTTTTTTAAACAACAACAAAAAATCATAACCAGAGTAAGATCACAGAAAAATGGCACGCATTTTTTGCATTTCATTATAAAATAATTTGATAATTTGTAACAAAACATTCAAATGAATCAATTCTTAAAATCAAAATTCTCATTGCCTTCTGCTCTTTCAGCAGTGTAACTCTTATCAAGAAGCAAGAAGTTTTGGACATTTTAAGTAACACTGAGGTGAAAGAGAGAGACAAGGCAGCTGAAGTGTTTAACCCAGGTACAACAGGAACAGCACAAGAGAGACATGTGAGAAGTAGCACAAATACAAGTACACACATACACCCACACAAACACTCACTTCTACAGAACACAAGCAAGTACACACAGGTGTACAAACAGATGCACGCACATACACCCATGGGATTTTTTCCTTTCCTCAACTCTTCTTTATCCTTCTGTCTTCTCAAGCCACAATTTTTCATGTGGGCAACAGTGAGCAAAGTAGTAGTAAAATACTAAACAAACAATTGGTACACATCATATCACATAAAATTCGCCAAAATCAGGACCGATACAGTATTTAGTCTCTTTCTTCAATATTCAACAAAACTCTCTGACCTAAATTCAAAGTCGACAACTGGGCACTGGGGTCATTCAGTAAAACTCTTGGATATGACATGGCAATGGTGTAAACATTCTGACTGAACCCCTGAGTGGTGATGAAGTCTAGAACATTCTGAGGACAAAGAAAAACGTTTTCAATCTAATCATCTTCATCAGTATTTCTCACTGCATACAAAAGTACAGGCCATCAAGAAGGGCTCTCCATGCACTTCTTCCCTGGACTAAATTTCCCTCTGAGAAAGTATTATCTTATCTTATTGTCTCCACCTCTGTCCAGCTGTATCCCATCTCCTTTAAGTTGGGATCTAAACCCTTCCTCCATGTACTTTATCGTCTTTCTTTCTTTCTCTTTCCATGTGGATTCCATCTTAAGGCTTGGTGGGTAATGTTTGTCTTCAATTTTTTTAAGACAGGTGTGTCCAATCCAATTCCATTTGTTCTTTCTTTTTTCAATATCTATTTTTTGCTGATTTGTTTGCTCCCATAGTTGTTTATTTCTTATGGAGTCAGGTCAATTAACTTTTAGCATTTTTCTTAAGCAGCGATTAATAAATGCCTGTAGCTTTTAAGAAATTGTACACACTTGGCTTAGCAACAATTGTTTCCAAAATTCAAAGAAAAGATTTTTAGGGGGCTCTCGTGGCCTAGAGGTTAAGGTGTTGGCCTCTCATTCAAAAGGTCCTGGGTTCGAATCCGGGTAGCGACCGAAAAATTTTCTTCACTAAATTTGTCTCCTTTCACCTCATTTCCTGGCCTCTAGCAATGTTCTGTCGTCTGCTTTCGTCTCCTCTTTCTGCCCCCACCCCCTCACCTCCTTTGCCCCTTCCTCTTGGCTCCTGATTCTTTCTGCAGCCTTTCTACTGCTACTCCTTCACTTCTTCTTACCGCTGTCTTTCAGCTACACCCCTGATCTTCTGGTAGGAAAGATCTACACCTAGCCTTCTCGGACAAGGGCGAAAAATCTCGGAGGTCCCATGTGCAAGTTGGGCACGTTAAAGATCCCTTGGTGGTCTAAAATCGATAAGAGTAGGCTTCGGCCGCCACCCGGGCAAAATTCCAAATTTCCTACCAACTGAAAATATTAGGTGTGTCCCGTGCGCTCATATGACCTTATGCAGTTGCGAGCGCCGTAAAACACTTTACAAAAACAAACAAAAAAGATTTTTAAAGAGAAAAAAAATATCTTGAAGATCAATGGGACTTTATCTCTAAAGTAAGAATGACCACAACTTTTTTCCAATCATATGTCTAATTTTATGAGTCTCAAATTTCAATAGTGTGGTCTTCCGCCAATAGCTTGTTGAATGAAGCACCATCAGGCTTAATGTCCACTAGCAATACAGAACCGAATTTTTCCTAATATAATTATCACTTAATTAAGAGCATGTCGTAAATCTGTTCACTACATATCTGTTCCAGCGCTAGAGGCTATTAACAGAAACAGATTAGCCATAAAGTGACTCATTTAGCTAGGACCTGAAGGAAGGGAAACAAACAACACATGCCTTCCATTAATGCCTGAAACAGCAGCATTGCCTTTGGGAAAAGATGTTTAGGGACAAGGTGTGAGACAAAATTGCACAATGAGAAAAGCCAGTAACCAGCCAATCATGGCAGGCGGACAGAGTGAGAGGGCTGCGCTGTAATTATAATGAGCATTGTCTGCAATCGCTCAGCATAAGAAAACTTCACATCTCGGATTAGCTCAACTGCTTTGAAGGAACAAATTGCAGGAAATCATGTATCAGAATACTAACTCTAGTTTGCTCCTTCAGACTTCATTTAATAGCAAGTTCAGATAATAGCATGCTTTTCTTGTAATCCAAGGGGAGTGCTATTAGCTAGACACCATGTACTAGAACATTTGTACCAATTTACCTGTACTTGGTTTTCAAGGAAAAATTTTCGTTGGCAAGTTGTTCCAACTGGAGTTCTGAGTATGATAGTCACAACATTACAGCCAGTTCCCTCGGGCTCTTCTGGAAGTTTTATCACCTATGAAACGATATTATAAACAAGTTTTTAAAATTATTTCAGGTCAATCTTTAAAGTAGTGATGACTATAACAGTTAATCAATGCTAATCATGTTAACAGACATAAAGATAAGCAACACCTAGGCCTAAATAAAAGCTGAAAAATCCAATTAAGAAGAGGGCATTACTTTACCAATGAATGAAATGATTAAGTTTGAAATCACAAGAAACATCCATGAAGATCAGAGGCTCATATCACGACAGAAAGATCAAAATTATCACTGTCTAATGCTCACTATTATGCAGTCATACACAATTCTAAACTGAACTTTAAAAAACTTTCTAAAGCGTGTTGACGTTCAACTTCTTTGACTCCTAAGCCATAACAAATATTTCAGCCATCAACCACGGTAGTCAGAGCTATTTTCAAAAAAGCACAAAAACACAAATCTTCAAAGATTCCATTTAACTACTGATTCTAATAGAACTTCAAGAATAAAGCTCCAAAACGTACTAAAATTATATTCTGAGATAAAGCAGCCTAAATAACAGAGAATTTACCATGACCTCAAGCACAACTGATCACCATAAGAATGAAAACAATGTCCGTCCAAGTAACTGAAACCTCCCCCGTTCCTTTCCAATTCAAAATAAAAACAGCAGAAAAGACAAACAAAACCACTGGAAAAAACATCTGAAGCACCCAGCCTCTTATAGCCAAAAACAATGCACGAGTCACTGTACAACTAACCCTTCTTGCTACAGGTTCTTTGGGTTTGCTAGCAGCAGCAGCGACCCTCTGATTGATACATTCCTGCACAATTCTTTTCCTTGCTGCTCTCTGACCTGGAGACATCATGTGCTCATTATCATCTCCGCTGGACTCGGACTCATTTCCCTATCAAAAGGAGAATATGCCTTACACACGTTTGTTTGGAAACCATTCATTAAGTCTACTCATTAGAAGAAGTGAGAGGGAGAAGAGAGTGGGGATGTAAGTGGTGGTGGTGATGGTGCTAGAGGTGGGAAGGGAGAAACGGGAGCAGACAACTGCTACGGTATATGTAATGTTAGTATGTATACAGACAAGAATCATGCACCATACAGCAGCAACTTTCTAAATTCAGCTTAACTAGTGAACATAGTCAGATACTGTCAGTGGGTGGTTGGTGTGTGCTCTGGTGTGGTTTGCTCCTTCTTTCCTATCCAACATCTATAATCCTTATCTCCCTTCCTTCTTTTTGTGTTTGTTACTCTCTTGTAACACCTTTAATCTTCAGCACTTATATGACCTTTTTTTCACCACCACAAAAAAACAACACATTTTTACTATAATACTATTTATTTGTTCATAAAAGGTTAGTGAAAAGTCAGTTTGAATAATGATAGTCTACATTTCCCTCTCTCTTGTAACAGTTTGCTAAATCCTGGGAATCATGTCCTGAGCTTTAATGAGTTAATAAAAACTGTCCTCAGCACTAAATGTACAAAAGAGTACTAAACAACACAAGACTGCATTCATCACATGAGACTGCATTCCAGAAGTGGTCATTCACCCCGTAGGATCTGACAAGTTGTAAAAAAATAACCCGCAAACTTGGATGAAAAGAAAGTGTTACAGAAAAGCACCTAGTTATGCTTGATATTAATTAAACGCAGCCCACCAGGTTATGTCAAAAACTTTCAGATGCAAGGGTTTCTTGATTATAACTTAACTAAAAAGAAAGAAGAAATGAGGACATTGCGCAATAGAGAAAAGTAGACTCAACACCACTCGAATTTTATGAACTACCGGTAAATTAAAGCATAGGGCTTACTGATACACTTCACAAAAAACCTTTTGGCAAGTACTCATGCTGGGAAAACAATTAAATGAACTTCAGGACTTCAAGTGAAAGACTTTCACATCAGGCTCATGGAATTTGAGCAATATCCAGAAATATGTTCACTTTCGTGTACAGATGGATCTTCTAAAAACAATAAAAGCTACTTTCACAAAACAACATAGTGTAAGAATAAATAGCCCTGTGGAACAAGTGTAAAATTCCAAACCTCTTCCATACTGAAGATGGAGTCACATCAGTATCTAGTCTGGTTCATAAAGTAATATTCTGACCTAAACACAAAAATAACCTGAAATTACTAAACAAGTAATAATGGCATTTTAATCAAATTTCCAGTAAGCTTCTTACCCCCAAAGCATAACCTTCACCTTTCCACGCTGGACCAGAAAACCGCTCACATTTCTCTATCTTTCTTTTTCGCTTTTCTTCTTCTCTTGGAATAAGTACTCTGTCCATATAATCTTGAGCCTGTGGAAACACAAAAATCTAATCAAGAGCTTGTTATACAGCATGAAGTGGGAGAGCATATTGGATTGAATAAACATAGAATGTAAAAGAGAAAAAATGAATGTGCATTCTTTTTAGATGTTTTAAATTCATCTTTTCTCACAAAGTAATTTTTAAAAGGTAAGACTTCTGTGTTTTTAAAAGGTAAGACTTAAGAGCTAATTGGATTTTAACACGCAAAATTCTCTTACAAAAAAATGGCATTCTTTTCCATGTCTACAAACTGAGCTTAATGACTAAACTTTAAGACTTTTTTTACACCTGTTGATTCATTCACTTCATTTATTTTCACCTCTTACCTTTTCATCTTGCTTTTTCTGCAGCCTCTCCACAATATCCTCCTTTTCTTGTCTGTATCTCTCTACTACATTTGTATAGTCAGGAATGGTTTCCTGATCCCCTGACAGACAAAACAAAGTTTAGGGTAATTCACCCGTCAGATTAAAAAAATTAAATAAGAGTCTAGGAACTCTTTAGAAACATCAGAAGGATAACAAACCCTAAAACAAATAAAATGCCAACAAAATGTCCAACATAATCATATCAGTCAAGCCAAGTAAACAATAAATGTGGAACAAAGTGGGGTTTATTTTTTGTTTGTTTTTGTCTTTTTTAAATCTCGGCAATGATTTAGAAAAATGCTTAATTTCCAGTTGTCAAAATTGAGTTACTGCTATCATTATACATCTAAATAATATCCATGCACACTGTATCAAAAGACTTCGTTGAAATTCGAAATAACTTTTTTAAATCCAAGTTTTGCAAAAATAATTACTTACATTTGAACACCTGACGTCCATTTTTTACAATACAATTTCCAGTTGAGTCAAAGCAAGTTAAAAATCACAACATCTGTGCTTTTCCATGAATTAATAATGAACATGTTGACCCAAAGGCTATCATAACCGAAAGACAAGAATAGTGTAGATATAATGCACATCAGGCGCAGCCAATGGTTTGTCGAACTAACCAGCAGTAATTAACATCGACATTACTGTACTAGAAAACAAAGCAAGAAGTAACGAACTCTTATTCCTAGTCCTCTGTACTTTACCCAAAAACTCTTGCTTCCTAAACCACAACACAGTCAAAACATGCACTCCCCCTGCAAATATGAAATCTGTGTGATGACGAAATGTCAACCGATACCACACCAATGATGCAGTACCGTGCACATCAAGCTTAGAATAACCTACTATACAATGTTCTTAACACCTGCACATTGAACAAAGCTTGCACATAATTTCCATTCATAATCAAACGTTCTTTATTGAACTTCTAGGAACACTAGTTTTACATGGGGACCTGTGTTCAATGCTTATTATAAAACTAAGTGCTGTCTGAGTTAAGAGTGGAAAAGGGGAGGGAGTATATTGTTTTGGGCCAAGATGAAGATTCTCTCCTTGTTAAAATTCCCTCTTACATGATTGGACAATCCCTGGTATAGCCAGTGTGGAGTCTAGGCCAGGTAAGGTAGCAATCCATACCTTCCAACCACTCCACGACCACAAATAGGGAGTTATTTTTAAAATCCTCAAAAAAATAGGAGTTGGGGGGGGGGGGATAATTATAGTCTCCATAACATCAGTAGATTAAGATTCCATATATCAAACCAAGCATATTATATGCATGTATTTGCAAACCATCATCATCTAGATCTGCAACAAATATTCAAAGCAACTACACACAAATATAGAGATCATACCTGTGTTGTTCCATTTTGAAAAGACCTTGTTAAGTTTTGAAGCCAACCAGTTCAGAAGTAGCACTGTCACTACTACAACAAACAGACCTTGCAAGGAGACTTTCAGAACTGTGAGAAATAAAATATCATAAAATGGTGATACTTGAAACAAGTGCCAAACTTATAAGAACAAATTTCAACTCTGAAAAATGTGTTTTTACTTGAGACCAGAACAAAATACTTCCCACATAAGTAAAGGAATCAGCACCTCATACTCTTTGAATTACATCTGGCTCATGAACTCTTTCTAAAATGTCTCAATTATCTGGAAATTTGAATTTGAGTTTAAATAATGAGAAGCACTTCAAAACAAAAACAGCCACTGAATGCAGGGGAAAAGCACGATAGACTGGCAGAAATACCTGAAGGTCAAAAAAGGTCAGAGAGAACCCCCCCTCACAACGATTCCCTTCTAATGAGCGCTGTGAAAGAAATGACTATGCTATTTGCCAAAGTGTTGCTGTTTATTCTGATCAGAAAAACAGTCGCTACCCAGATTCGAACCTAGGACCTTTAAAAGAGAGGTGAACACCTTAATCTCTAGGCCTTGGAACCCCCACTTACGATTTGTGTGTATGAAATGTGGGCAAGGCTTAAAGATTATGACGGATCAAAAGGCTTCCCTCACCAGCAGCTGAAAATTTATGGTTACTGATTGATCAACTTCGGTAAACACTGACCCAGGCTACATTATCATTTATTTGAGGGAATAAGAATAACAACAGGTGAATAGATGATGACGGCTCGTACACTGCGTTAGGAGCAAATACATAATTTGTGTCACGACATGGAATCAGGGGCTAGTCAATTTTGTGGCAAACGGAGTTAATTGGTACCATCTTAAAGCCTGCTCATTTGCCTTGTATTTGGTGGGGGAAAAAAATCCATTTATTTTGGATAGGAAGATTTTCAGAAGTAAAATTAGTAAGAAAATGGCCGCCAAAATTGAGTTATTTCTTTAGCTTAACTTTGAGAGTCCATGGAAACAAAAAATTTACATCTTTAATGCCTTTCTTCTTCTTCTTCTCGATCGCATCACACTTGAAGTCTGGTATCTGTTATAAATTGGGCCGTCCTGCTCAGTTCATCTGTCGGCCCGTATAGCTTCTCTTGCAGCGTCAGTGGGGTTGGCCACGTTTCCTGTCTAAGGGCCCTGTGTGTCTTGCAGTGCTGAAGGATGTGTTCAACAGTTTGGTCCGCCTCTCCACACTGGCATTTTGGTGATTGTACTAGTTTAAAACATTTGTACATATGTTGTCTCAGTCTTGTGTGTTGTGTCCTTAGTCTGAAGATAATCACTTGTTCTTGGCGGGACAGCTCATGGTAGCCATCAGGTGTCTGAGGTGCTTTAAATCTATATGTGTATTTATAATAGTTTTTATTTCTGTGTAGTTAACGCTGTTGTCTGGTTGCTCTTTCTGTGCTCCTAGTTTGGCCATCCTGTCTGCCTGCTCATTTCCCAAGACACCACAGTGGGATGGAATCCACTGCAGCATGATCCTCAGACATGGGATGTCCTCAATTTCTTTTCGTAGCCTTGGTAGTTTGCCGGAAGTGATTGCCTGCAGTACTGACATGGCATCTGTTAGGAACACTACTTGGCAATAAAATTTAATGCCTTTAATTCAATATTTTTCAGTAAAATCCACACAGAACTGTGTTTTTTAAGGGCATGAAGGTGTTGAGCCCCCCCCCCAAAAAAGAAAATTCGGTAAAAATTCCCAAATTTGCGGGAAAATGCCGGTTTCTTGACTTTCATTATTTTGACTAGCGCCTGATTTCATCCAGCTGTTTCACATTTGTGATTTATTTATTACAAAGTGTCGGGCTGAGCCGTAAGAGATTTGTGTAGCCATGTGATACAGGCAATTTTGTTTGTTGGTTGATAAAATATGGTGTCCGTGGCTGACAGGTGACTGTTTTCCACAATGAAATTAAGTAGAAAAAAATATAAAGGGGGGGGGGAACGAAAACTGGCTGTTTGTGCAGGTGACCATTATACAGGTGGCCATCATGGTATGCTGCAGGTTCAACTGTATTATACACACATTTATACACACAGATATAATATCATCTATTTATTTATTTATTATTATATATGTGAGGCAGTGTGGTGAAATCAGGCACTCGTCAAAATAATGAAATAGAAGAAAACAACATTTTTCTTCCCATTTGGAAACTTTTGTCGAATTTTCATTTTCTGACTCAACACCTTTTATGTCCATTTGAAAACAATTGCGGTGTGGCTTTTGCTGAAAAACGTTGATTAGGCACAAAAGGGTACGTGCGTAGATCTATAAATTTACAGTTTCCAAGGAAGCTTTGAAAGTCACCAAACTTTGGCTACCATTTTCTCTCTTATTTCAACTCTGAAACCAGCAGGTGATTCCTATACTATACCTCCTTCAATACAAAATCTCAATTTTAATTCAAGATCGGATAATTTTTTCATTGAAAGCAAGACTAATGAAAAAGCTTTATATAAGATGATACCAATAGCTCCATAAGTCCAAATATGACGAGCGCCTGATTCCATCGCATCATGACACAGACACACACATATTTCTTAACATAGCCTATATTCATGTTTGGCCCTCAAAGCAGCCCATCTGAGCCATCTCAATCAGTTGGGGGCCTATGTGGTATTGACAGTTAAAGTCTACGAAAACAAGAATTGAGGGTCTGGAACACTGGTCCGAATGAGGGGGGGGGGGGTGTTATGATGTTATGTATTCTTAATATAGACGAGCACAAGACGATAGTAAACATTCAGCCATACTGATTTCATAGGGAAGGGAAGTGTTTATTTTCGTATCGAACATCTTCACTAGATCTATATTCGAGTATAAGTATCGAATATCATGACATCCCCTTTACTTAATAGAAAAATTCAAAATGGATATTTCCAATCTTTTTTTAATCTTTCCATTTCTGAACTTAACAAAATAAGACGTTAACGAAAATTTAAAAAACTTGGTCCCAACTGAACACTCAACAAAAGAATATCTCTTAGCAACAATTTATGTTATCACCATTATTCGTTTGACTATCTCGTCAATTATTATTATAATAATTTCAAATCTAGCAAACTGGATTATAGGCTCACATGGACATAAGCTTGATGTGATTCGATGACATTTGAAATGATTAAGATTTCTTCACCAATTAATAATTTAAATGATTATTTCCTCCATACTTATACTCGAATATAGTGAAGATGTTCGATACGATAGTAAACATTCAGCCATATATTGATTTCATAGGGAAGGGAAGTGTTTATTTTCGTATCGAACATCTTCACTATATTCGAGTATAAGTATCGAATATCATGACGGGGGTAGGGGGGGGGGGGGGATGATAATAAGATATATAATAAAGGAAGACAAAAATCATTAGCGCTGTTGAATTGTTGAGATTGTCATTAAATGATTTTTTGGCATCATCGTCAGCAGAGATTTTCAGTTCCAAATTGTATTATAATTATGCGAATCAAAACTTTAAATGGATTCATTACTTCAACACTATTAAAACTCTTTTAGTACCACAATGCAGCACATGACTGTATGGTTCTCTGAAAAAGCAGCAATGTATCTGTGCATGGTACAGAAAGAGTTAAATTTTATTAAATAAATAAAAGTTTATTCTTTTATGTTCTAAGTAGATTTCTAGAATCTATAAGATCTAGATTATAATTTTATAGATCTAGATCTAGATCTAGATCTAGAAATCTAGATATCTAAAGGTAAACAAAGTAATCTCCAGTTTTGGCCCCAGAGTAATAATATTATGAGTTACTTCGGTCAGTCAGGTTAGGGCGGGTAGGGTAGGGTAGGGGTAGAGGTAGGATATTGCATTGTTGTTAGGAGTCTAGATCTAGAATCTAGTCTAAGTAGATATATCTAATAGTTGGGGTTCAAAATCGGATTATCTTTAAAAATGTTCAAGCTGTAAATTATTAGGAGGCGACAGTCTGCAGTGAGTCGCCATTTACCACAGAATAAATAAAATTAGATTCTATTCTTCTTTCGTCATCGCGATTCTGTGACTGTCTTCCTCCTAAGTCCTTTACTTTGCATCTTCTCTGTTGATGCCTGTGGACTCAAAATCATGAGTGATTTCCATACTGGTGGTAGAAACTAGATTAGATCTAGAATCTCGATTTCTAGGTGCGAACTAACACCAATCAACTTTTCCAAGCAAACAATATGATTCAGTATTAGTTCTAGATCTATATCAAAGGGGAAAAACTTCCACTCCTCACTTGCAACGTCCATGGGGGGAGCAAGGTTATCAAAGATAACGTTCTGTGATCTTCCCGTTGTGGTTCTGCTGTGTTTACAAAATTGGAGACACGGAAGCAAAGAATGATAGGGCCCAGCCTAGGGTGGGATTCGGTTGACAGCTTAGGTTTGTGAACTATGACATGAGTCTGACCCCTGAAGGCCACGATCATGGTATAGCCCATTTAGCATTAACCTAATTTCTCGTTTTCATTTTAGACAAGTCCAAACTACGATTGTTTAGACATTTCCTTCTGTATGACTCGTTTATTGTGAATTCTTAAGCTTTCAGGAAGCTCACTTTATAAGCAACAGTAAAAAGTAGCCTTTAAAAAATAAAAGAAATAGAGGCTCATGTTCGAAAAGCTGTCACCCCTCCACTTCAGTTGAACTCATTCGGGAACCAATTGGAACGTTACAACTAGTCATGTGACATGTGCAAACTGTATAAGAGTTGGCTCACTACCTCGTATCGTCCTCTTTTCCACCACAACAGATAGAAGGGTGAAGAAACTAAAAAAGGAAACAACACACAAAATGGCTGTTAACGGCGTTAAAAATGGTAGTCACTATACTGAATTGAATCGACACTACGCAGAAGAATGCAGCCAAGATGATGTTGGGAGTTTCCTCTTCACATCGGAATCTGTAGGGGAGGGCCATCCTGGTAATTTTCTTTTGAATTCTGTTTGCGAGTGGAGAAACACTGTCGAGCTTGCGCTTATTTTCGCACATGTTCCAGAATAGTAACTAACTTAGTTATCTCCCTTCTGTTTAGGGAGTAACGAATTCCAGACTACGCTTGTGCTGCACACCCATCCCAAAGGGGACTTTTTTCACTATATGTTCTTATTTTACATGGCAATTTTGTTTCTTATAAAGTCTGAACTAAATTAGCTCACCAATTTTTTATATTAGATTGCTGTTCGCTCCTAGACTTATCCGTCCGTAAAAGAGCGGGTTGGGTGAAGGGAGGTAACTGAACTAGAGATATCTAGACCTGGGTTATGGGTTTGGTTCTCGTACTCGCACATTTCCCGAATTTTGTTGTGGACTCGAAATGAACGTGTTTAAAACCGTTTCCGTGATGTCAGTTGAACCTAATTTTTTATGATGTTTTGTGTGAGTCACAAAAGAACTCACCAGCGAGACTAGATTCTAGGCCTAGATCCCTAGATCATCTAGAATCTAGATAGATCTAAAGACTAATTATTTAATAATCTGTTACGTCTAGAATCTAGAGATCTGGATAGGCCTAATTACTGGTAGATTGTCTAGATCTAGAATCTAGTAGATATCTAGATCTAGCTTATGTCACAAATATGTTTCTTAGTTTTTATTGTGGATTTTCCTCAGACAAGATCTGCGATCAGATTAGTGATGCTATCTTGGATGCTCACTTGAAGCAAGACCCCAATGCCATGGTAGCTTGTGAAAGTGTAACAAAGACTGGCATGATCCTTGTCGCTGGAGAAATTTCTTCCCAAGCCAATGTGGATTACCAAAAAGTCATCAGAGACACCATCAAACAAATTGGATATGATGATTCCTCAAAAGGTAAAGAAGTGATTGACTTTTTAAAAAGGCCTCGTTTTAAAAATTACTCTTTAGTAGTGTCTGTTGACACTAGCAACCACATATGAATGTGCCCTTTGTAGAGTTGTCATTGCTCTGCTACATTTTTTTGTCATTTTTGTCTTACTGACCAAGGCATCGGACTTGGTAAGTAGGAGTTGGAGGGTGCCACTGATAAGCCCTACTTATTTACTTTCCCTGTGGTGTTTTTCTTATTCCCTGAGCTAATGAATGAACTTTGTGGCTTCCCTTTTTCTTTACTCAAACAATATAAAGAGCCTTAGACCTGACCTCAGTGTAGCTAGTTATAGACTTTATAGGCTGGTCAACTTCTTTCATGCTTCGTGTTCCAAGAAATGGACTTGCAAAAAAGTTGTTTTATTTTCTGATTTATTTTGTTGAAAAAAGTTTTTCAGGTCCAGTGTTTCAAGTGTATGCTTTATTAATTTTGCAGGCTTTGACTACAAGACCTGTAATGTGTTGATTGCCCTGGAAGAACAGAGTCCAGACATCGCCCAAGGTGTCCACGTTGGAAAAGATCAGGATGACATCGGAGCAGGTGACCAGGGTCTCATGTTTGGTTATGCCACAGATGAGACTGCTGAGTGCATGCCTCTCACTGTTGTTCTCTCCCATCAGCTTAATGCCAAGATTGCTGAGCTCCGCCGCAGCGGTGTGCTTCCCTGGGCAAGACCAGACACAAAGACTCAGGTTGGTTGATGCTTATTGTTATGTAATTCAGACCTTTTGGTTAGTGCAAAGTTTGTGAGAGCTGCTAACCCTTTAGCTGGTGACCCATTGAATTCTCTTGGGTGTTTTGAGAAAAGGGGGGGGGGGGAAAAAATGGCTGGAAAAAAGGGGGTATTCTTTGTTGGTGAAGCATGGGCTGGGAAGATTGCTATTCTTTACCAATGTTTGCTTTTTCTTTCTTTTTTTTCTGAGCGTAAGTTGAGCATTTGATTGAATCTGCAAAATATATTAATGATACATGAAGTATGAATATATTGTGCATGAGTGTGATGCAGAGTAAGAAAAATTGGTTACTGTTTGTGTTTCCGTAACTCACTTTATCTCTGAGGGGGGGAAACCAGGGCCCTCTTCTCTTAGTATAAGATCTAAAAATTGACATAGGGGCCTATACGTCACAAAATTAAATGGTCATTTAATCAAAACAAGTAAACCTATTTCGATAGTCCATGTAATGAATGAACTCCGGTAAAAGAGATCTGTTTTTGACAATTGGTGAAAAGTAATTTTAAGTCACCAGTCGAAAATGACTCAGGTTCCAGATTTGGACTGGGAGCAGCTTGCCAGAGATGAGGAGTTGAGTAAGTGTCTTAAAATGTATTTTTCCATGGGAAAATTCAAAGGTTAAGTATGCCTTGTTTTAAGCTCTTGAGTGCTTATTGTTATTAATGTTTTGGCTGTTTGATTTCAGGTGACAGTTGAGTACCGATACATCAAAGGTGCTGCTGTGCCACAAAGAGTCCACACCATTGTCATCTCTGCTCAACATGACGAAAACGTCACTCTTGAACAGCTGAGGAAAGATTTGAGAGAAAAGGTTATCCAGGCTGTCATCCCCTCTAAGTACTTGGATAGTAACACTGTATTCCATCTGCAACCCTCTGGAAAATTCATCATTGGAGGACCTCAGGTATGAGTGGCAATGCATCTAGGCTTTGGGGAATTTCGTAACAGTAATCAAATACAAGAAAGAGCAGTCAATACCTAGACGGTATCCTCAGAAAATCTAGTTGATGATAGGAATCAGTGTACAGTCAAACCTCGTTTTACCAGCAGGTTTTGTTTCTATATAAATATAGTATCTGTGCCTTTATATATGTCCAGCAAACTGACCTCCAGGGTTACACACTGCTTCCACTCATTGGCTGCTTGATATTTTCCCTTGACATTAGGCAGTAGAGGCTATTTACCAGAGAAATGCAATCGAAACCAATAGCACTATTCCACAAGCTTCATGCATGTCCCAAGGATAACAGTTTATAACAATGTTTGACTGTGTTAGGAATGGGACTACACCCAACTTAGTTTTTAACTTTCCAAGACCTTTTTGAATGTATTCGTAAATCTGTAACTGGCTCTCAAATTATTGTTATACTGGAGGGGGTGGCGGGGGATTGTTATGGTAAGTAATTTGTATTATTTTTTGTGGGAGAAGAATGTTACGTCGGTTGTAGTATTCTGTCAGGTTTGTTTTATTGACTATTTTTGTCGCTTCAGGGTGATGCTGGTCTTACTGGACGTAAAATCATTGTCGATACATATGGTGGATGGGGTGCCCACGGCGGTGGTGCCTTCTCTGGCAAAGATTTCTCCAAGGTGGACAGGTCTGCTGCATATGCTGCTCGCTGGGTTGCTAAGTCTCTTGTCAAGGCTGGTCTGTGCAAGCGTGTTTTAGTTCAGGTAAGCACACAATTTTCATAATGTAATCCCTATTGGTAGTAAATTTGGACATAACATTAACTTTAACTCACTGAGTGCCGTTAGTTGAAATCGCAATTTCATCCCGGGTCCAAGGGTGTTCATGAAAATTCATTGTCTGATAGCTATTTTAAGTAAATACTCAAAACTTTCACTGTTTGTCATTTTTAATGTTGTGTTTTATGATGTGAAAACAGGTAAAACTAGGAATTATATGAGCCATTGGTTAAGGAAGTGCATGAAGCAGTCTCAAAGGCACATTTTATTTTGCCCGGGATCTAAGTTTGATGACCATCTGGTATGCCTTGTTCAATATCAGAACCCACTGAAACAGTTTTTCAACTAGAGGCTGGAAGGTGTTAAGTTCAACCTAAAATTGCCGCGAAATAATGTGACAAGACTACAAAATACTGTCCTCACCTAGAAAAACAAAAGCTTCTCTTATGACTCAAAGGAACTACCTAATTAAACCGGCATTCAGTAGCATGCCTTTCCTTTCCACTAGTGTCGAGATCATTCATGGGTCAGTAAATTGTGGGTTCGGTGTTTCTCAAATGTATTGGCCTTCCGATGCTGTGTCGGCGTGGCAGTTAATGAGTAATTTAAAAATTATTTTTAACATTTTCTGCCAAGGATCTATATATATAAGCCTATATTGGTTGAAGTTAATTTTACTTTATGATTATGGGGTACTGGAGCTTTCCCTTAAAAGTTATGGATGGTAAAAAATTTTCCTTTATGAATTTTGGTGCGTGAATTTTTCTTTTGTTCTGTCACAAATACTGGATGTCTCAGCTTGGAATGTGTTTGAAAAGGCTTAGAAGTAACTGTCACTTGCACTCGTGCACTTTGAAACTAGAAGTGATAATCTTTGTATGTTCCAAGCTGACTAGGTAGTTCCCATTTACCCTCTGTTATCAATAGTCACTGACGGATCTCGTAACGTGCGCCTGAGACTGCCTTGATTGGGCATTTTTGTCCTGTTAATTTTTTTTAATTTGACAAATATTAACTAATTAAAACCGGATAGTCACGACTATAATAGGAGAAATGTATAACAGTAACTTGGCCGTATTGTACCATAATGGAATCTGGCCCGTTGGAATCAGTATTCTTTTCTCAACAGTAGCATTTTTCCAAACCATTTCCTGTGGTAAAGGTGGGGGTGGGGTGCGGTTGTTTGTTTTGTTTTTTATGAGTTTGTAAAAGTGTATGGGTGGTATTTTAGATTGTTTCCCATGTCCTCGGGATTCATAACATCATTTTAAGTAGTAAGGCCCTTTTTATCAATACTCTGTGACATTATATTAATAGTATTTGTTTTGTTTTTGCCTCATCAGGTTTCATATGCCATTGGCATTGCTGAGCCCTTGTCCATCACAGTCTTCAGCTATGGTACCTCACAGAAATCAGAGCGAGAACTTCTGGATATAGTTAAAAAGAACTTTGACCTCAGGCCCGGACGCATTGTCAAGTGAGTGTTCTTTCTCTTTGTGTATTCCATGAGTTATTACATCTTGTAGTCCCAGAGGAGATGGGAACCCAATATTTTGGGGCATTTGTGTGGGCCTTAGTATTGTTCTGGGGAATATTATATCGAAACCTATGTGATGAGGTAGAAAGCCAGTTAAATATTGCTGTCAGTGATGTGTGGGGTGCAGAACAGCCATTGACCTTGCATCTGAATTTGTTGCCATTTTTTTTCTTCCATTTAATTCTTATTTCTTGCTTAAAAAGATAGTGTGTAGGTCTACTTTTTGTAGCATTTGTCAAGAGATTTTTTCATACAAAACCTACTCTTTGGTGGCACATGTATAGTACAGCTACCCTCGTTCTGATGCCTTGTTTCCTCCTGAAAGTACTGAAAGGAAGTATTATTCAAAACAGAATCTTGGAATAGTAGATTCTGTCTCTAATTATGTCCTTATATTCCATTGATTTTTTTATTTTTTTAATGTGTTGGGTTTTTTTTATGTCTGTACAGGGAGCTGAAACTGAGAAACCCAATCTACCAGAACACTGCCTGCTATGGACATTTTGGACGCAATGAGTTCACCTGGGAACAGCCCAAGAAGTTGATATTCTAAGATTCTTGCTGCTTAGTATGGATGTGTCTGGACCAGTATTTTGTTGTGGGATTTTTAAAAACTTTTTTTTTACATTTTATTTTTGTACAAGGGGTAGAACATTGGCCATAACTTCAGTAACATCAAATCCAAAATTTTTATTGGTTGTTATTGCTCAATTTGACATTGTTGGAGCTTTAGTAGAGAATTGGTTCTGCATGATTCAGTGATACCCAGCAAAATCATTGTTGATTCACAGTGAAACCAATTCTACTAAGATAAGGACTGGTGGCAGATCTCTCTGCCAAGCTCAAAACCAGGGCCCTGTTATAGAGGCAGGGCTATTGGTTCCACAAGTTATAGGCTTATAGTTCTCTACTTCTTGTACCAGGTTCATGTCTTCGGCTTTGAACTTGTGGGGTAAATTTTAGATGTAGAATTCCATTCCTGTATGTAAAGTTTTTTTCTAGCTGTCTGAGCCAGGCAGATATGTGCTTTTTGTGCATATCTTTCCCTGGCTGTTCATAAAGTTGTCCCCACTTTTTTTTTTCTTTTTTTTTTTTTTTACACAAGCATCTATGTAGACCAACCTTGGGATTTTGGGGCTTTTGGCCCTGTATGCCACAGTAATTAGAAGGATAGGCTGACGTGGACGACATACCATAGATTTTTTGTTGTTTTTTTTAACATAGTAGTGGTGTGTTTGTATTGGTACTGTTGTCTGCCTTGGCTTTGTTGCTGCCTTCTAGTTATTGCAAATGTGCTAACTTTTTTTTTCTTCTACCAGTCCTAAGCACGTTTGTCTTGTGTTTATGAAAATTCATGGAAAAGAGCACTCTTTATAAACACTCGGGCCTACATCCCAATGATGCAGCTACATTTTTGAAGTGTGTTACTTGGGTTTTTGTTGGGGTTTTTTTTTTCTTTTTTACATTGAATGTTCACATGAATGATGTTATGTTGCCATAGTTCAGTTCATTTTTCTTCGTACATATGAAATACTAAAATATTTTCATTTTAGAGCAGAATATGTGTTCCTCTTACTTAAAATGGGGTAGTATGGGTAGGTGCTACCATACATAATCTAGCTGTTATATCTGAATAGAAGCTTTATTCTCCATTGGTTTATGGATTCATCCCCAATCTCTGATAGACCTAGTGAGATTTTTTTCACAGAGGATAATTTGTCTTCAGCCTCTTTGTCTTTCAGTTCGTTTTGACTGAGTTCCTTCTTTGACCACCTCTGTTGAGTCCATTGCATTACTGTAAAGAACTCATTTGATGTATCCACGGTTTTAATAAACGCAGTTTTTAGTTCTTTGTTATCTTCTATATTTTTCGGTCAATATTTATATAACCAGTGGATTGACTTTATACTTTACAGTACCAACGTGAGATGATTGCGAGTGATCTCAGTATACATGTATGGCTGGAGTGGTAGCTTTTTTTAAATGAGTATTTGTGCAAATGTTCCGTGCGATGTGTGATGGATTTGGTACAAAACTGACTAAAAAGCCATAATAAAAACTATAAATTATGAAATGTGTTCTCATATTTTGTGCAGGTTTTTTTATGTTTAAGTCACAAGTATTGTACTCACTATCAAATTTTCTTTCCTGTCTCACAAATGTTCAATGTGACCACCACCAGCTGCATGGGCAACATAAATGCCACAAGAGAACTTATCCCAGATGCGTTTCAGCATATCATGGTCCATTAAGTTGAATGGTTGTTGTTATTCAAAGTTTAATTAAGAGTTCACGGTTAGTTGGTCGTGGTGGAACATTAATGTGATCTTCTACATGTCCCCACGAGAATAAAAATGTCAGTGTGATCTGGAGGTCTGGCAGGCCAAGCACAGAGGCAACTATTATTAGCTCTGTAGGCCCCTAGGCCCTTTCTCTTCTGTCCAATCCATCGCTCTGCGCTGGGGCACTTTTTCATTTAATAACGTAAAGCTCGAGCCATCAGGTGCCAATGGGGCAGTGCTCCAGAGAGAGACAGCTATTCCAAAAGAGTTAACATTCCAGACAATGGCAAGAAACCGAACGTGTTAGTGTTACATGTAGTGGAACGATGGTACATACGAGGGCTGTCCCACGGAAAACCGGAATTTGGTTGTAATTTGAAAACTTCAATATTTTCACATTCTGTAAACGCACACTTGTAAAACAATCATTTAGAAATTACCCGATTGAGCACCATGAGCATCACACAAACCAA